AGTGGGCTGGAAGTGTGTGGGCTCATGGTAATTTGTGATAGCATCCATTTGCTCATCCTCTCTAGCCTTCTGTGCTGTCTCCTTTGTGAGCAACAATGGGTCATCATCATCAGACTCTTCCTTCCATTTATCCTGGCCACCACCTCTGCGACTAGGCAATGGCTTTATATCTCGTTTGCTCTTGTCCTCATTGTTCTCCAATTTAGCAATCTTCTCATGTACTGGCTTGAGCTTCTGAGTAGCACGTTTCATGGCACGTCCCATGGTTTGTTTGTCACTCAGTCTGATCCAGTCGTACAGACACACTTGGGCGTATTTAGTTGGCCTGTCTGTACATGTAGTCCATTTGCTGTGTAATTGCCTACAAACTTATCATGGCTCTTACCTATGACTACTTTGGCTGGTTTCTCATTTGGAGTGTACACTGGCTCCTCAGTCGGCCAGGCCTTGAGGACCTCATACATGTAGCTCCTCCAGTAGAAGGGGCGGAATGTATGGCTGGTGTAATGGTCTGGCTGATTAAGGAGGTACATGCAAGCCATTGGTGCACCTGTTTCTGCACTGGCAGTGAGAGCATTGACAATTTTAGTGATCAGCTTCCGTGCACACACCTTGCGGTTGCCATCTTCACCTGCTTTGAGATCAGGATTTCTGCTGAACACTGTCTTCACAGCTGAGAACATCATATGTGTCTTCAAAGGAGTCTTTGTGATGTAATCTGTAACATATGCAGTGATTGCCTTGATTGCCGTGCCAGACAGTAAGCTTGTGACATCTGTGTTGCATCTCAGGAGGTAAGTAAGGGCAGGAGTGAAAGAGTTGAGCCTTGCTTCCCCTTGCTTCATGAGCAGTGCACCTGTGTCTGGATCAACAACTGTGCATGGCCTTGTTGTCCTGGGGAATCTCCGCTTACAGACTTTCATGATCTTATTTGTCCGCTTGTCATATTTGCAACCACTTTTGCCTGTGGAGCAGCTATGACGGTTGGACTTGTATACCAGGTCATTCACAGTCTTGTAGAACTTGGCCCACCAACCATGATCTGTAGAACAGCCTTGACAATCATCAAAGTGCTTGTTGTCACATGTATGCATCTGATTAGGCGGTGGGTCTGGCAGTGTCAGGGTAGGATCAATGTATTTATCCTGCTGCTGATCACTGAGCAACCGGTCATACACATCGGCCATGTTTGCACCCATGAACTCTGCTTGGTGGACACTTTCTAGATACTCAACCATTTTCTGTTGAAAGTCAGATGTGGGGTCCATGATACGCTCACGTATTTCCTGTGGAGTCAATGCATTTGTGATCCATAGCATGAGGTGCAGGTGCAGAGTCATCCGTCCCTGCTGCTCAACTGTTCCGTAGTATCCAGCTGTGTCACCATACAAGCCAGGATGATTAGAGCCAACACCTAGAACATGCTTTATGAATAGCTCAACAACTACATTGAAAAATCTAGCTCCTGCGACAGGGTTAGCTGCAATCAACCTTGTACGTGCATCATTATCAAGGATGTCAGGCTTGTATGTCTCATTTGTGTCTGCAAAGTACAGGCACAATGGATGCTTCACATCTGCAGGTGCAAATGTTATGAACCATGATGGAGCTCCAAGATAGGATGTGAGGGCCCATATTTCATTGCGCATGTGTTTCCTGCTTGTCAGAGATCCAGGGACTTTATATGCAACATGATCAACATCTTGTATGAGCTGATAGCAGTCCTTCTCTGCCTGTGTCTCTGGCTTGTAGTGTCCACGTTCTTTGAGTTTCTGAGTCAAATCATCCAGGACATTCTCATCTATAGACAAGATCCTATTCGCTACATCTGCAAACTTCTGCTGCTCTGCAAGCAGAAATCCACCAGTTGCACTGCTTTTGATCTGTTCATGATTGAATGCAACCAGTGGAAAGTAGGCTTCAGTCTGGAACCGCTTGTCATGGTACATCAACAGTTGTCTTTTTCTCTCAGGCTCTGATATGTTCTTGAACCCTCTTGTGTTTCCTGGACCCCCAAGACCATATGGAAATAGCCAAGGAAACATCTGTGGGTACAGCTGTGGGTTTGAGAATAGGGACTCTGGCTGTTCTGATTGCCCAATACCAAGAGCTGCCTTTTTCTGTGATTTAAAATGCTGCAGTGCATAGGCCCGTGATGCATCTGTGCTCATATTTGTGAGCTGTTCACCAATAAGCCCATGCACTACAAATGGACATGGACCCTCTGTAGTGCCATCATTCTCCTCAGATTCATTGGCAGCTTGGGTCTCAGGATCCTTGTTGCCTGTGCCTATGTGATAGTCGGTATCACTGGAGGAGTGTCTTCAGAATACATCTCGAGGTTGCGGTAGGATATGTCTAAGTCTGCATAGTCTATGTGGTTCAGTTTCAGCCACTCCAATGCTGCAGCTACTTTTTGTCTGCGGACTAGCAAGGGTGTACGTTGGTGATCCTTAGCAACTGGGCGGGTGGGACCAATGTATATGTACGCCAGCACTTCATCCAGCTCACTGGGACTGGGAGGCAATGCGTCATACACCTTGGGCATAGGAATAGTATGGCAGACTGCATTGGCAATCATCTTGCTCTGCAGTGAGCCTTTGACACGAACTACACAACGGTTGTGATTCACACGTGCTATGAGAAGATGCTCTGCCCAAGTCAGATTTTGTAGCTGCTTTGGAATCTCTCCAATCCAGAGCCCATTTGCAAGTGCATGATTTGGGACCTCATTTTCCTTTAATGCAGATTGGCATGTATGGCACACATGTCTAGCACTGGGCACTAGAACTGGTCCAGACACTTCTTCCACAGAGTCACTGTCACTTGTCCGCTCTTTCCTTGTTATTCCTTGACCTGCAGCATCCAACAGATGAAGACTGTTTGTCACAGAGTCAAGAGGAAGAAGTTTTGAAAGAGGATACAGCAGTCCACAGACAGCACAACCCAGTTCATGATGATGGGCTGGCTGTATCTCAGTGGAAAAGTCAGTTATGATCTGTTTCTGTGTAGTTTGACTCAATGGCAATGGGGGAAAAGGAGTTTTTGCTGTGTTTACTGCACTGGTATCCATGGCATTCCTGAAACGTTGCACTCTTGCAGTAGATTTGATGTGCAAGGTCCAATGCTGCATTAGACTTAGCATACTGCCACAGGTGATATTGCAGACATGGGATTTGACTGCTGAACGTATAGCAGCTACTGAGGACTTATTGGTGCAGTTGATATAATGTGCTTTGGCTATAGCCAACAGATACTTTTTAGGGAGAGTAAGCAGTTCCTGTAGTGGAATGTTTGCAGCCACCAAATTTTGTGTTTCCTTGAAGTAGCCATTTGTTTCATCAGGCTTACAATATGCAGTGAATGCAAACTGATCATTCGGTAGGTAGCTATTTTGTAATGGCTGAATGTGTGAACTTATGTGGGGGTTCAGTTGAGACCATAGCCATAGTTCCCCAGCATTATAGCGTGACTGTCCACCTCCCAGGAGGGCCACAGATGATTTCTTCACTGAACTTGAACTTTTTTGTCTAGCACCCGGAAAGAATGAAAATGTCCACTTCACAGGATCCATTTTTCTGCCCTGTAAGAGACCTAGTAGTGCTGTGTGGAAGTCATGTCGGTACATGCTATATTGGCCCAAGTGCAACTTATTTTTCTTGATAATAGTATACAAATGCTCATTTCTATAACTTCATACCAAGCAACTAGTATGGCATATTGTAGTAGAGCTTCATTGTACATGGTGAATCTACATGTACAATATGGAAGATATCACGGTGAATGACTCAATTCTATGACTTGATGTATATGTCAAAACCATAGTATCCATTGTCATCAATGAATTCTGCTGCTGATGATCCATTGACAAAAGCATTTTGTGCATCGAAACCTTTATATGTAATCCACACAGATACCATACACTATGTCCAATGAAGAATTTACAGTTCATGATTTATTTAGCAACCTGTGCAACTCAATAAAGCATAGTCAAATCCTTCTGGTCCATTCAATATCAAGTGTGTATATTAACAACAGTGTTACATCTGGAGCATGGAGCTTCAGTCAAGTGTAAGCAGCCACTCAAGATGAAAAACAAAGCCAGTCACTGCATGATTACCATATGGAGGATGTGACATTCCCAAATAGGAATCATGCACAAATCAGTTGATATGGGGCTCAGAAGAAATGCAGGAAAGCCATGAAATATATAGACACATCAAAGACAAGTCTACCTTTGCTTTATGCTGCAAATGATTGCCATTACATTGCATACAATGGCCATAATATGGCAAAAGGTGCTCAGACTGCCTGTTATAATCCTTATTAGCATCTCAACCACACATATATGTATTACAGTTGACAGATATACCATATTTTGGCCATAACCAAGTACTTTGAATCTGCACAGGCACATGTGCATTTTTTTGTTTTGCATTTCCTGGCCTAGCCAGCCACTGTATGCGCTCCGTAAAATCCCCATATACTCTCTGAATGAAGGGTTATCAGATGAGCATATATGTGTACTAATTAGATGTTACTAGCTGGGTCTACTAGTGGTCTACAATATGTGAGCATTTGCAATGAGCCGCCAGGCAGACAGTCACATGACAGATTTAACAGTTTCCTTATTGGGGGAACTGCTAAGGTGTTTCATGGCCCTCATATCCATAACAGAGCGCTTAACCACTGCATTTGTTTGTACCTGTTGGTGCAAGTCGCATCGTCTGGGAGTCTGAAATTTCAGACTCAGATAAGTAACCCATACTAACAGTTACTTATCTCTGCTTATTGGGGTGGCTGCAAGTCACGTGCACTGTGGGAACAAACTGCCATTTTGGAGGAATCACTAAGGTGTTTCATGGTGGTCCATCATAAGAACGATACCTTCGTACCTCAGGGATCGTAAAGTGATTTTAGACTTTGGTCTTCAATTTCTATCAGAGAGGTGAGCATTGTGCTTTTCTGGCATCTCATGCCCAGAACTTACAATTCTTGCAATGGACCGCATACATAGCAACAAAAAACAGCACGGACTATTTGACACTCTCAGAGAGCTAGACCCCAACCTGGAAGAGCACCTCAGAGACGGCGAGCATACTTCTGACATAGCAGCCTTAGTAAGTTGTAATGGAGCAGGCGTGGAATCATCCAGTTTGGACTGATTGTCCAAAGATTGATGCAGGCAGGGATGGTGCCTGCTCAACGGATGCACAGTCTCTGAAAAAAGCCATTCTTGATTGGGTCCACCCTGACGGTGGGGCCTTGATACCACCGCTCCCTCGAGATTCCAGAGTCGGGCACAGATTTGCCCATGTTGATACAGGTAGGCTTCTCTGCCCCACACATCTGGATTGGGATGACGCCAAGTGAGTCAGCTAGGATATTGGTGGATAGCAGTCAGATAACATATGACTATTGTTAGGATACACAAGAAACTTCAGAACAGGACTGCAGTCGTTACGGCGGACCAATGCCCCACATTCCTATACGGAGATCTCACATATGATGATGATGATCCCTGGGAAGGCTTATTCCGAGGCCAAATCCTAGTCCAGGTGAGTGCAAAGCATGTGTCCAGTAGTTGTCAGTTTGATATGCTGACTTGGTTCCTATTAGACATTCAAATACATTTTCACTTCACCAAGCTCTGCGTCAAAAGAGGGGGCTCAGCCAACAAAGCCAGCAAATGCTCTTCTGCACAACATGCAGTCTGTCACCCTAGCCTCTCTGGTGTATGTTGCAACACAGGTGAGATGCCTATGCCCATTCTCATCATGTTGCCATTCTGATCTTTGCCTTCTAGGTGCGGGTTGCGTTGAGCTCAGCTGCTTTCTTCTCAAAATCACATGCCGAAATAAAGCACTTCTATGACACCATGTTGAATCAGCCGTGTGATCCAGCTGAAGAGGATGAAATCAACGAACTTCTTACTTGGTGAGACAGGTGAGCACAATAGACTGCTTATACACCTAATATTGTGGTCTAATCTGGCATTCAGTGTAGTGTTTCCTGGGTTCTTTTCAGCGACAAGACAGGCGACTGACAACACCAGCCCTTTTGCAAAGATCCGTGCAAGGCTCGCAGCTATCTCAAAAGCCTCTTTGGGGCCGGGCACTTCAGTGCAGCCACGTAGGAGCTGTGAGCATTTTCAACTCATATTTCAGCTGTCAGTTCTTGATTTTGTGATCTCACAGCCACAAGGCATGGGTCCAGGCACAAAACCATGGGCAGCAGTGAAGCTGAACCTGGACTCACGAGCAAAGGGAAGAACAGTGTTGCCAGTTGTCATGCAAACTTCATTAAGTATTGAAGCTGAGGTGTGTTTCATGAATGTCCAGATCTGTGGATGAGTGTGACTCTTGACAGACCATTCACTCAGGCTCAAGCAGAGTGGTCATGCGTGACGTGTGCATTACCGCTGGTCGCTACATACTGTTGCTTCGTATCTTGGTGTACATGGTGCTTGCTGCTTCATGTGCGCATACTCATACACATGATACTTGATACTATATAATTGCTCATCACACCAAAGCAGCCCCTCTGCATTCAGTGTCTGTCGCTCTTCTGCAGGCACCCATGGCGGGGAGTGCACATGCCACAATGTGAGAGGTGTAGTTGATACGGCCGGTGGCTGCATTGTCTCAAAGGATCACATGCCATAAGGATCCACGCCACTTCGCCGCTGCCGTGCTTTCTGGCTGAGAAAGTGTTGCATGCGGGCATGAGCTCAGTGCTTCAACAAGGCTTGGCTTGATTGGTCCATCACACCTCCAACAGTATATGCATGCACCCATTGCCCAACCGATTGCAACTCATTTTTACTGTGCGGAAAGAACCCCCCAGCAGGTGCGGCTGTGAAGTCCAAGGCATAGCAGCTCATTGCAGTGGACCCCCAAGCTGCAAGGCCAGCGACATCAGGCAGACGGCAATGAATTGCAGAGGGGAGCAATGCAACTTGTCTGGAGCCAACATGAGAACATAAGTGAGCTGGAGCCAACTGAGGAACATAAAATGAGTGGAACACTCACTCCAAAGCAGTGTTGTATCCCATTTGCTCCAATCAACATGAGACAATAACACTCATTCAGTTGTTCCACACCCATTTGCCAGTTTGTCCGCCCATCCATTCCTCCATTTATCTGCCCGCTCTGCTTGCCTGCCTGTGCCACTGTTTAATCTGGAGAAGATCAGGTCCGTGCAGCAGTCTTCAGATGAGAACACCTACCATTCTTTTTGAAGAGAGCCCTGAAGGTTTTCCAGACACCTTGATCAAGCCTTTTTCCCACTACTATCATGAGGTATGTGCCTACAGCTTCCCCAACCAACGCCTTGCTAGACTGACGCCAGCTGTCAACTGAAAGGCTAGAATACGCCTGCTTCTCCCGCTTCTCCTGCAGCACCCGGTTCTCCTGTACCTCTTGCAGCACCTGGTTCTCCTCCTTCCTCCACTTGCTTGTCAGCCTTGCTAGGATTCTGGTCCTCAATAGCGGGCGGTACTCGCTGATCATCGCCTGGACCACTTTGTCCTTGGAGAAGGGTGGTACTGCACAGCCCGTGATGTGCTTGTGCTCATCTTGGAGCATAAATGTCAAGCCCGTTGACTTGTTCATTGTGTCAACAAAGGGCGCGCAGAATGGGCAGCAGCACTTTGAGACCCTGATGTGAATCTCACTAGCAGTCTGACGTGACGAACACAAAGATTAAGGCTATTCAGGCAAATGTATTTACTCACCCGTGATTCATCGAGTTTCAGCAAGGCAGCAAGGTATGCCTTGGCATGGACTGTTCCACTGAACAGCCTCGGGTAGAGCAAGCGCACCGACTGGTGGTACTGCTCTCCCTGTGTAAAATCCATACGCTCATCCCCGGGTGCACCTTCTAAGATCTGTACCATAAGGTCATCCCAAGGTAAGAGCTTGGGGACTGCCTGTTTCATCATCATGAGCAATATCTTGGTGGGAAATGTGCCGGTGACCTTATGAATGCACACAAAGTCTCCAGCGCTGGCTGCCAGGAGCAGCAGCCATTCCCAGAAGCACTGATACAGTGGTATCTCAGGCAAGCCCTGTGTTTCCGCCTCATCCAGGCTGAGGTCGTCTTCCTCAGCATTTTGGTAATGGCCGTGAACTGCAGTGTGTGGTCAGTAAGCATGTCGTCTGCTAGAGGGTGGAGATACCAATCAATTTGTGTCCCACTGTAGCACCAATGGCCGCAGCATAGTGGCGCGCAGTAGCGGTGTGTACAATGGCGTACAGTGCCAGAGCTGTGATGTGTGGTGACCGCACACAATCCATGAGGGCTTCAATGTTGCTTCCTGTCTTTGATTTGGCACATTCTGTCTGTGTTTTGGTGCATTGGTGTACACACTGATAGTAACGCCTGACAGTTGTCTTCATCAATTTGTGAAACTCAACGGCCATCTCCTTGGTGTACAGGCTGATGGAGGCGTCTTTTGTGGTAATGGTATTGTCTTTCTTTGTAATGGTTTCGTCCATTTTGTCCATCATCTTGTGCGCAATCGCCTGGAGGCATGGATGTGCAATTCCAAGAGACTCTGCGTCACAAAGGAGCAATGTCACTAGCCCAGTGTCCCATTCCGGCTCATCTGAGGATTCAGGGTTGGGGATTGTGTTACGGTCCCTGAGGTACGAAGGTATCGTTCTTATGATGGACCACCATGAAACACCTTGGTGATTCCTCCGGAATGGCAGTTTGTTCCCACAGTGCACATGACATGCAGCCACCCCGATAAGCAGAGATGAGTAACTGTTAGTATGGGTTGCTTATCTGAGTCTGAAATTTCAGACTCCCAGACGACACGACTTGCACCAACAGATACAAACAAATGCAGTGGCTAAGCATTCAGTTATGGATATGAGGCCCATGAAACACCTTAGCAGTTCCCCCAATAAGGAAACTGGTAAACATATCATGTGACTGGCAGCTTGGTGGGCCATTGCTCCAAGCGCTCACACACTGTAGGGCCTATATAGCCTCAGCCAGTAACAAATCATAGTATACATAGTATGCTCATCTGATAGCCCTTCATTCAGAGAGTATACAGAAATTCTATTGAGTGTATACAGTGGCTGGCTAACCCAGGAAATGCAAAGCAAAAAAAATGCACATGTGCCTCTGCAGATTCAATCTGCTTGTTTATGACTCAAATATGGTCTATATGTACACTACAATGTATATGTGTAGTTCAGACACTGTGGACTACTCAGTAGCTTCAATAATACAGGTAACAAGGACTATAATGGGTAATCTGAGCATCTTTTGCCATCTTATGGCCCTTGCATACAATGTAATGGTAACCATTGCAGCTCAAGGCAATCATACACTTGTCTTTGATGTGTCTGTATATTTCATAGATTTTCTGCATTTTTCTGAGCCCTACATGCCCCTGTTTGTGTATGATTCCTCTTTGGGAAGGTCACATACTCCATATGGTAATTATGCATCCACTGCTGGCTTTGTCTTGCTCACAGACACAATCTAGGGATACATACCTGAATGTGTACTTACACTATGATCTTATAGGGTTGTCCAGTACATGAGCAGTTCCAAGAGTGAAGTAGCAGGCTTATATAAGCTCACTGGGGCCACAGCAACCATCTTACCAGGTTATTGAGAGTGCTATCTTATCTGATGTCAAACCCATGCCATATACAGCTTTATTCACATTGCCTGGATCATTTTGAATATTGTCTCAATTTTCCGCTTTTTTGTGAGTCTAAACAAGCTCTCTTAAGCACAGTAACAGTCCGCACTTACATCGCTTACTAAGCGCCCATCAAGCGCCCAGATGCCGAGCTGCTCTGATTGGTGCAACAAGCCCTTTTCTTCCCTAATCAGGCAGGCTGCCGAGGTTTTGAGCTGAGTTTGAATCTCAGCCACAGGCTCCTTAGTGGCACTGTACCTGCTGTACTGTGGCCTCACTAAAATGCGGAAAATTCCCAAAATAATCTCTGTGATAGGTATGACGTCATAGAGTCTATAGCTGCTGTGACTTGCCCATTACCTTCACTATATGCTGCCCACAGATTCTCTGACATGTCAAACCTGCTAAATAGGGTAGCTGACCTTCCTAAAATGGTAATTTTGCTCAACCTGCTCAGTCTGGGCTCACAAAATGCAGATAAAATCAGGGAATATTATGTGTAATCAGACTCATCTGTATTGCTTTGTATATGAAGGCAATTCATCTTGTATGGAGGCCCCCACAATATATCACTAGTATGACTTGCCCAGTTGGTTGAAATTCAGGAAACAGAGAAACACATGCATGAATGTGTGGAATTTGACTGGGATACACTGACTGAAATCTAATCAACTCTTATAGAGGTTATAGAGATGATAAACTCATTTGATAGCCCATCATTTCAAGGGTTAATCATACATTGGAGGAATGAAGAACAAAGGACAACATTTAGAGAATCACAAGTGACTGTGCAGATATGAATGGCTTGTTGTCTCTGAAACACATTGCCTATGACCTGTATGGATATGTGCATAGTTTACAATGCATGGATGTGTCTGGAAGTTGCACAGCACAGCTATTGGTGGGGAAAAATGGTAATAACATGCATGTTTTGATGTCTCAGCACTGAATGACCATATAGGGAATCTTCTCCACTTGTAAATATGCTCAGGGATGCTCCACATATATCCTGGAATATTGTCTGATTAATCCGCATTTTCTTGACCCCAAAACAAGTGAATTGTGCTGCAGTAACAGTGTGCACTTACATCGCTTACTAAGCGCTCGACTAAGCGCCCGTTGCCGAAGCGGAGTCGTCGACAGGCCGGAATTCCGGCCTGTCGACGACTCCGGTCACTCAAAGGGGATTTTGGAGCACTCCCATTGGCTGAAATGGTGACAAAGATTCCCTTTTAAAGTAATCTTTCAATCTCAGCTCTTCATGCCGAGTTTTTTGATGGCTTCAAGCCACACTAACTGAGCTCTTACTAGAACCCCATTAAATGCAGAAAAATCCCAAAATATTGCTTCTCCATGGAATGCCCCTTGAGTACTGACAGGGGTGCCCAGATTAGGTGTTCTTGTTGTTTTTCACAGAGTACTGACCTTGGCAAGTGATACTGAGGATATAAGCAAATGTTGGTGTGTGTATGACGCTTGTACAAGACAGTTCCACATGTATGGGCTATGTGAGGTGGAGGATATCAAACATACAAAACTGCCATATATGGTTAGTCCCCTGCCCATTTGGGAAGTTGGCCATGCATGGCCTCTGCAGGACTGGATAAATAGCAGGAAAATCAGAGAAAAATTAGATAGTACTATGGATTTGTATTGGGTTGACTGTTGAGGCCATATGGCAGAAAACATATAATAATGCAGAGTTTCCCATGCATAGCCTGATACAAGCCACTCTTTCAATGAGTCTTGGTCCATCTTGTAAGCACCATTATCACCTGGAATTCTCAGGGACTGGCAGCTCCAGACAGGATCCCAGGCTATTCTGTTCAGTTCAACTCTTCAATAGGCCCTGCAAAGGCAGGCTATTGGGCTGAGTTTGAATGCAAGCCACAGGCTCATTAGTGACAATGTATTTGCTGTGCTATGGTCTCCCAAAAAATCAAAAACAATTGGAAATATTCCCAGTCATGTATATGATGTCAGAGAGGCTGTACATAGTATGCCTTCCCATGGATTCATATAAACATGGCACCCACCATTCACAAAGCAAAATAAAATACATATTCCTCTGTACACACTGGTTCTTTCACTTTGTTTGTGTTTCCTGTGATGCTTGCCAACTGCCTATGGATTGTGGACCTGAATGAAACCTGCCATATGTGGTACCTGACCTTCTCAAAATGGAAAGTCCGAGTTATCTGCTGTGTCTGGGCTCAGAAAATGCGGATAAAACAAGGGAATATTCTGTATGATTCCACTCACCTTGTACTGCTTGCTATAAGTATTGATTGGCTCATGTCTAAACCCTTTGGCAGGCAATGGCATATGCAGAAAATGTTGGACACCTGTGGCACAAAGGCCACAGTTAATGCTGAGTATGTTCATAATATTGGCTCTGTCTCACATGTGAATGGCATAGCTATCAATATTATGGGTTCGCAGAGCTTTATGACACAGTACTGATCCTAGAAAGTGATAGAAAGACATTGTACAAGTTGTGTTGTGCATCTACTACTGTTGCTAGAAAGTCTATAGGCTAGCAATGTCATAAAGTAGGGACACCACACATAGGTGATCAAATGCTTTGATGGTCTCTGCAATGCTAGATAAATGGTAGGAAATGAGATAAAATCAGATGATCCCATGACATCATATTGTGCTGACTGTTGTAGGCCAATGCATGACAGTACATCTCAGATGGAGTTCACAGCCTGATGTCTGCAGCTCTATTGTCCCAGTCCAGTATAAGCATGTCTTTGACTGATTGTATCAATATGAAGCAGTGCCAATTATACAGTATGATGGTGCTATGCTTGGTTGTTAATTGCTCATATAATTTTTGCCTGGAGCATATCTAATGTCTGTATGCACTACCATCATCCTATTCTCATGCAATGGCCCTTGGTATGTGAAGATAGAATAGGCAGCTCTTGGCTTGTTCATATGGGCAAAAATGTATTGACAGTGGTGTCTGTGAGTGCAATGTCTACTATCACTCATATTGCAGTGTATGCTGTGATTTCTTCCTGATTTGGCTCAGAAGAAGTCATGGTTGCCATGGAAATAATGCAGACTTGCATTGCTTACTAAGCAACAGTGAAGAGGCCATATTACAATGGACTTCTGAGCCAATATATGGCTGTCCTTTTATGGATCTCTAGTCAATAATATGACTTTGGGAGTACTCTCATTTGCTGTAACTGTTTCCTTTTACATGTGATGATAAAATATCAGCTACTCATGTTGGGTCCTTTCATGTTATATGGAAAGTGGAAATATAACACTTTAGACCCCGGTGTGAACATGTGTGATATTTGAACAGCATTGGAAATATGTGGCAGTGTGCCTACCAGTACACCATTTGGCAGTTGATCCTGGGTGGTATCTGCGCTGGAGTAATGTCAACATGAAAAATATATTGTCTAATCCAAATATAGTACCATACATTGTATGTGCACACAACATAATGAACAGTCAGCCAGAAAATGACACTGGTGATTATCTTGGGAGTATGCCTGAAGATATAGAAATCCTTGGACTTATGATCAGAGAGCATGACCATTGATAGTAGGCATTACTAGAATACCCAGGAAAGGCCCATGTGCAAGTCTTAGTATGCAGTCTGTTGTTAGGGACAAGGCATTGAAAACCCTTTTTCTACAAGAAATTCCATAGATATGGTCTTTGAATAGGGTAGGCAGCAGGAATTGTTATCACTCCTGGGCTTTGTTATCTTTATCCTAGATCCTTTTAATGGACTTCATTTGGGGTTCACAATGCCTTCTGACCAGATTTAAGTGATCTTTTTTTCCCACATTGTTATGCTTTGTG